ATACTAATATAGTGCTTATCATAACTATACGACACGCACATATCGGCAAGTTTTGACTATTTCTTTTATTGTTTTTTTTTTATAAAAATATAGTTTATTCTTTCACAAAAACCGTATAAATCCCAGTTTTGATCCTTGTGCAATATATAAAAAAAAATTCGACAAATTTGCGTAAAAATTTCGAGCTTTTTAATTAGATTTCTTGGAAGTATGCACTGCAAACTGCAAGTTTTAAGTAGCTAGGACTTACATTCAATTTTTGGAAATTTTATTTTGTTGAAGGTGTTGCTCATATTTCGTATATAAAAAAATCCTAGAACAAAAAAATAAAAATTGACAGAAATTAAAAGTTACACCCATGATAAAAACATTAGAAGGTAAAACCATTCTCTCAATTCGTCGGCCATAATTTTTTTCTGACGTTTGCAAACATTTTAAAATCATATAAAATTGAAAATAAAAAAATGAAATTGTTCACAATTGTTGTTGTTTGAGATTAAAAATGAGAATGTGTGTGTGAGCCCGAGCTCGAATTTTAAAATTATATTGTTGGCAAACGTCAGACTGCCTCTCAATGATTTTACCTTGTAATGTTTTTATCATGGTTACACCTACCTGATAAATTTTTCTCTAAATTTCTTCTTAAAAAAAATATATAAAACGTAAATATGTAGCCAAAACTTCTCAATATGTGAGTGTCGTATAGTAACGCTTACATACATTTAAGGCATATATACGTAAGTACATACATACAATTGCCTTAGAAATTTCGTAGAGATATATCACTATACACATTTGAATACCTGCATGCTCTCTTGTTCGTCTCACGATAACGGTTGCCAAACAAATACGAGCACATCCATACATACATATGTATGTATGCATAATACAATAATTCTGTGCAGACACTTGCATTCATATGCAAAAGCTCAGAATACTTAAGCTCATACATTTATACAATCATAAACCTACATTCATACAGACATACATACACTATGCAAATGTGCATAAAAATTGTTATAAAAATTTTAAAATTTTAATCAGAATTTCAGACTGATAAAATTTAAAATGGCAAATTTTTCAAACAAAAATGTGTCATTTTAAAATTTAACAGGCTGATAAATTTTTTATTGATTGGTGAAACCGGGTATACAAGTTTCAAACTTTCCATAAGATTTATAAAAGTTTTTAATTAGAATTTCTAAATTTAAAAACAGGGCCTTAAAAATCTCAAAATTTTTAATCAGAATTTCTAGAAAAAATTCACATTGATTTTTGAGAATTTCTTTTGCTGACGGCGTTCCTCATTTTCTTCCATGCAAAGTATGTTCGGAAATTTTTTTTTATATCTGAGAAAAAACTGCCAGCAAAAAAATGCTATACAATCAACGCGTTTAAAACTTGCACAATATTGTACTAAAATTTAATACGCTATAAGCTACATGGCCGATTTTTTTCTAGAAATACTGATTAGAAAGTCTGAAATTTTGATGAGCATTTTTTTCATTTGTTAACGTTTCAAAAGTCTTGTGTAACGTTTAAAACGTTGAGTTACTTGTAAAAAAAAAAATAAATAAATGTTCGAAACGCGCAAAAAAGTAGTGTCCCTTATTATGTGACCCCCACTGTATATAATTTTAATGCTTGTAGGCAACCTGCAGCATTAAATTTACTTCAATGCGTTCATGCGTAAGTGTGAACACAAGTACATACTACTCTCTTGTTCTTGTTCTTGTGTTTGTACACTTGAACCATTGCACTGTGGGTACCGCCATTGGCCAAAATTAAAAAAATCAAATGTCATTAATCAAGAATTCAAAGTGTCGATAAGATTGTTCACACTCCCGCCAAACCAAAACCAAAATAAAAGTTAGCGGATTATTTTTTGTCATTCCTTTATAGCCATTCAAACTTCACATATAATTTAACATTGAGCTCGCTTATCGGTGCAGTTTTTTAATGGAGAACTTGGGAAAGTGATAACTTTTGTTAAGAAAGTGTGAGCAATATTAACTTGTTATGGATATTAAACAAGAAGGTGAGTACTCTCTAAAAACATACATTTTATTGTTTAATAACTTAAAGCGTCAATGTAATAGCACCCCTGCGCGAAGCACTTTCTGTCATTTTTTTTTAGCTTAGTCTAAAGTAAATTTTAGATTTAGATGGTTTGCCTCCGAGTGCCTTCTACAAATTCGGTACTAAAATGAAGAATATTGTTCTACCTTTTCATACAATAAGGAAGTTTCCTCCCGTTTTTTCCTTTTTCCGAGTTATGATAGATTAAAGCAGGGGTGTCAGATATGATTCTTGCTTGAGCAACTTTAATTCGTTATCACTGAAAGCCTTTTATATTTATTTATTTATATATTTTATATTTATTTATTTATATATTTTATATTTATATATAGGTGCTGGCTATCAATGCGTAATTACACGCAATTTTTTATTTGATAAATGGCTTGAAAGTCGAAAAAGTAATACAACATGGTCAACTCAAGCCAACCAAATCCTGGAAAACATCAAATGCAGTTGGCCTTATCAAGGTGTTGAGAATATTGAATTTGATCCCCTCTATGACCGAATTTATTTAGTATGCAAGAAGTTAGCAGAATTTTGGAAAGAAAATGCAAGCAGAAAAAATGCAATTATGAGAAATCATTCCTCTTGGCTTGGCAAATCTGAGACTGTCTTTTTAAGTTGTCGTGATGAAGATTATCCAAGTACATCACAACAACGAGGTCGTCCTAAAAAAAGTTTTGAAGAATGTTCTTCGCGGAGTAAACGAAGACGTGTGGCTGAAATTTCGAAATCCGACGAATCAATTGCCACAGCTTTGCGTAATAGTTCATGTAATTCGAATTTGGGAGAAGAAAACACGATGAGTGTAACGCCTTGTGAAGTACTGGCGCTTTTTGTGGAAGCAAAGTTTACAAAGAAGCAGTACTTACTTGTTCAGAATTTCGTCAACACCAAGATTAAAAAAAATGCACTGCCTAGCTACAAAATTATAAAGACTGAAAAAGAAAACTGCTATCCAGAATCCGACAAAATTAGTGTCACCGAGACAGGTGCCGAAGTGGACTTACAGGCTTTACTTAACCACACGGCGACAAGAATTCTTACTTCGCAGAAAGACGTTCTTGACACTCTCAACAATGACTTACATAAAAGCCTACAGTTAGTAGGGAAATGGGGATTTGATGGAAGTACAGGCCAAAGCGAGTACAAACAAAGCTTTCATGATCCTTATGCTAAAGACAGCGATTTGTTTGTTACAAGTTACGTGCCATTGCAGCTCAAGTTAAAAAAATGACAAAAATGAAGATGTTGTTGTTTGGAAAAATCCTCGACCGTCCTCAACACGATACTGTCGCCCATTAAGATTTCAATTTAAAAAAGAAACTACTGCTGTATCTGTTTTTGAAGAACAATATTACACTGAAAAAATAAATGCCTTGCAGCCTTTAACTATAACTATTAATGATAAAGAATGGACAGTCACTAACAACTTACGTTTAACTATGGTTGATGGAAAAGTGTGCAACGCACTTAACGAATCTACATCTTTAAAATGTTACATATGCGGAGCAACACCAAAGGAAATGAACAACATTGAATTATGCCTTCAAAAAGAGGCCAATGAGAACAGTTTATGTTTTGGTTTGTCCCCGCTTCATGCTTATATCAGATTCTTTGAGTTTTTTGTTCATATTTCCTACAGACTCAAAATTAAGAAATGGCAGATAAGAGGTGATGACAAAACAGAATTTGAAAAACAAAAGAAAATAGTCCAAGCTGAATTCAGAGCAAAACTAGGATTGATTGTGGACAGACCGAAAACGGGAGGAAGTGGTTCGTCAAATGATGGCAATACAGCCAGGAAATTTTTTAACAATACCAAAATTTCTGCTGAAATAACTGGAATCGATGAAACACTGATCGACAGATGCGCAACTGTTTTACAGGCTTTAAATTCAGGTTATAATATCGAAGCAGAAAAGTTCAGAGTTTTCGCCTTAGATACAGCTGCACAGATAATTGAAACATATCCATGGTACTATTTACCTGCTTCAGTTCACAAAGTGTTGTTGCATGGTGCATCGGTGATTGAGCATCATGGACTTATTTCTATAGGCGAGTTAAGTGAGGAAGCTGCAGAGTCCAGAAATAAGGACATTAAAAATTACCGACTGAATCACACAAGAAAAATGTCTCGGGTTGTCACTAATAAGGACCTTTTGAATAGACTTCTTTTAACTTCCGACCCACTTATTTCAAATGTGAGAAAATTGCCTACTAAAAAAAAAACATTTTTATCAGAAAATGCATTAAAATTGTTAAAAATCTAATTTACCAAACATATTATTTTTGTGAGAATTTGTTTACATTTTCTTTTTTATCTTGTAAGTTAAAACAAATAAAAATAATAATAATAAGTGTTTAATTAAAAAAAAGCTTGTGTTATATTTTTGACCGCGTTTTGGACGGGAATGCATTCATTTAATTTATTTTAACATTTAAGTTTAGCATTTCTTGGGATGTTAATGGGGTAGTGAAGTAAATATATAGCCTATCCTACTCAACTGTCAAGTGTCAATATTTTGGTCCGATTTCTGAACAATTGTATACGCTATTTTATCCTTACTAAAAACGGTGTTCTGCCAATTTTTTTCAAATTTCTCTGAAAATTAACCATTTTATT